GGTGTATTCTATCTTGAGCAAGCTGCTATTCATTGTTGGAAATCTTTTCTGTCCGTCAAATCTCCCTCCCTCTTATTCCAAATTGAATGGAAATTTTTGTGTTGCTTACCAATTTACCACACAAATTAATATCAAAACAAACACAAACAACAACAGAGACACAAGAAGACTCAAAAGTTTTATGCCATGAAGGTTCTTGAAAAGAAGGAAATGCTGAAACGAAACAAGGTTAAACGCGTTTTGGCTGAACAAGAGATTTTGGTTACTGCCAACCATCCTTTTATTGTTACTCTGTACCATTCTTTTCAATCTGAAGATTATTTGTACTTTGTCATGGAGTATTGTTCGGGAGGAGAGTTCTTTAGGTAAGGGAACAAATCGCCGAAAGCGATCGCACTAATCGCCATAGGCGATGGATTCCTTCTTCTTTCTTGTTTTACTTGTCCACCATAGGCGGAAATCGCCGAAGGCGATGAATTGATTCATTTTTCTTTCGCCTCTTTACACCCTCCGTCTTTCGGCGAAATAACACATCAAACTAGAACTCTGCAAATGCGTCCTGGAAAATGCCTCTTGGAAATAGAAGCGAGATTCTACGCCGCCGAAGTCGTTGCTGCATTAGAGTACCTGCACTTGATGGGATTCATTTACAGAGACTTGAAACCCGAAAGTATGTTTAGTACAACACATCTTTCCAAAAAAAAACAAGTACTAACTCAATTTGATCAAGACATTCTCCTGCACCAAAGTGGACACATCATGTTGACAGACTTTGATCTCTCAAAACCCTCGAAAACACCCAATGCTCCATCCTTTGTAAAGTCTTCCACCGTCAGCAACAACCAATTCGGATTCAATAATGGAAACAAGGACAATAATTTCGTTGTGGACACTCGAGCTTGTACTATTGATTTACGGACAAACTCGTTTGTCGGAACAGAAGAATATATTGCCCCCGAAGTCATTCGAGGCAATGGGCACACCATGGCCGTAGACTTTTGGACTTTGGGAATCCTTATTTTTGAGATGCTTGTGAGTATCCGTAGAGTTTGTCCGTTGATTTCCTAACATCCTCGTCAATTCCTCAAGTATGGCACTACACCATTCAAGGGCGCCAACCGAAATGCAACCTTCTACAACGTCATCCACAATGAAATCGTCTTCCCTGCTCCAGAACAGCACCGAATGTTTTCAAATTCGGCACCTGTAGCACCCTCAAGTCCAATCGCTGCCGCCTCGTCATCTTCAAAACCCAAACTACAACCCCAAGAAGTCAGCAAAAACTGTAAATCAATCATTTCACGGCTTCTCCACAAGGACGATACAAAACGTCTCGGCAGCAAAGCAGGAGCGTCGGAAGTGAAAATCCATCCCTTTTTCAAGGACTTGAATTGGGCGCTTCTGCGGAACATGAAGCCACCCATTATTCCCACACAATATGCGGATCTAGGGGAGAGTGTGAAAAACTTTAGAAACATTGGGGGTAAAGATTTGGCGGGGGGTCCAAGCTTTGATTTTGAACGGGATGAAGTGATGAAGGGTTTGCGGAGGCCATTTTCGGCCGAGTTGGGCGCTCTGTCGGCTGTTCCTGGTAGCGGTGGGAAGGGGCGAGCAGGGAAGGGGGTTGTCAATCCGTTTGAGGCTTTTGAAAGTATCACGTTGAATGCGTGGGATGCCGACCAGTCCCAGCGGTGATTTCGAAAATTTTGGTAGCGTTCTATAATTAGAGAAAAAGAATGCTTTTGATTTTGGAAGCGTATTGGAAAACGTATTTGTTTGTAATGTTGTTAAGCGTGTGAGTGTGAGTGTTTTTGTTTTTTGTTTTTTTACAGTATCTTATTGAATAAAAGAAGAGTATACTTTTTTTTTTCTTTCATGCATTATTATATCCCATAATTATTATTTATTTCTCACTTCTTCTTGGCTGGTTCATCAGCCTCCCCAGTGGCAGCTCTCTTTGTGCCAGCAGCCGCCTTCGTTTGCAACAACCCACGCTCCTCCAAATAAGCAACAATCAATCTCACACCATCCTCAATCGACACCAAATCCGTGCGAATGTGAATCTCAGCCTTCTCAGGAGCTTCATAGGGAGAAGAAATTCCAGTAAAGTCCTTGATGACTCCTTCCCTGGCCTTCTTGTAGAGTCCCTTGGGGTCACGCTGTTCAGCAACTTCTATGGGAACGTCCGCGTATACTTCAATGAATGGGATTCCGGCGTCGTCGTGGAGCTTTCGGGCGCCGTCTCTGTCGGCTCGGAAAGGAGAAATGAATGATGTAATAGCCTACCAAAAAGAAAAAAAAAGAGGGGGGGTGTAAGGTTTCAGATCTTTTGGCAAAATCACGCAATCGATAACCAAAAAAAAAAAAAAACACAACAACCATTACTCACAATGGTAGTTGAATCAGCAAACAGCTTTGCAACTTCTCCGATTCTTCGAATGTTTTCAGTGCGATCAGCGTCACTGAAACCAAGGTTCTTGTTCAATCCGAAACGAATGTTGTCACCGTCCAAGCGGTAAGCGTTGATCCCTTGAGAGACCAAGTGTTGTTCGAGGGCTGATGCGAGAGTTGACTTTCCAGAGGCAGAGAGTCTTTTTTTTTTTGGGTTTTCATGAGGAGATTGTTAGAGTGTTTCGCCAAAGTGCATGTCTGTGTGTGTGGGCAATATTTACCCAGTGAACCAGAGGGTGAGTCCTTTACGACCCAAGTTCTCTTCTCGCTCGGCACGAGTGAATGCTCCATCGTGCCAGGCAATGTTGGTGGACTTTTCGACGTTGGTGGTTGCTTTGACGGTTGCAGTCATTTTTTTTTGTTGCAATTCTGAAACTTGTTTTTTTTTTTTTTGGAAGACTTTGTGTTTTATGATGGCGTCATTTGCCACGATGTTAAGGGTGATATTCGCTGAGATTAGGAATAAAGCATCGGGAATATGCTTATCTATTGCCGGACCTTTGATTGGTCGGTATGTAATTAATAAAATGTTGGGTTGCTTACTTTTCTTTTTTTTTATGGATAGAGAATAGAGAAGTGGACTGTTCCTGTAAGAATGTCATCCTGGTCTGTATCCAGTATCTTTTTTATAATGTCTGAGAATTTGTCTGGAATTTGTCGTCAAAGAACGTGGGAGCATTTGTAATTTCGAATGAGTATTTAATGACCATCAAAAAGCGCCGTCCAGCGCCAGACAATAAAAAAAGCAGGAAATCTCCTCCTCCCTTCCAAAAAAAAAAACCAAATGAAAGTCCCGCCAAGAAACAACTCCGCCGAAGGAACCTCATTCTTCCTCTTACACACCCCCATCGTTCAAATCTGTTCTGGACTCTCCCTCATTGCTGCATCATTGTTCCCACGGAAAGTTGGTTTACTCCTCGGGATTGCCATCATTGCGTATCCCGTCGGGAAGCTGATTCTACAAAGCACCAAAGTGATTCCACACAAACGGCAAGACGACGTCCGCAAAGGCCGCCACACTGCCAAAATCGACGGAGATTTCGTCGTGTTTCTGATTGGTGCACGGTACAACAGCCCCACCTTGAGCAATGATTTCAAGGAAATGGGGGAAGCAATGTCGGAGATGGTGAAGGAGTTGGAAGCTTCTGATCCCGAGAAATCAGGGTTTTTGGGCGTTGAGAATTATTGGGGTGATCCTGCGACGGGTTCTACGACGCTTCAGGTTCAGTTTTGGAGAAGCGCGGAGCATTTGCATGATTGGTCTGTTTCGAAAATGAGTGCTCATTATTCTCCGTGGAAAAAGACTATGACTGTTGAGTGTTTTTTTTCTTTTTTTTTTTTTTTTTTTTTTTTTGGTTTACTCACCCGCGTTTCCTTTTGTAGATTACACGAAAGAACCCCGACCTTGGGATCTGGCACGAGACATTCATTGTTCGCAATGGAGAATACGAGGTAAAAAAAAAAAAAAAAAACTTTCGACAGGTTGCAAACACCGCTAATTCTTTGTTTCTTTCAGGCCATTTACGTCAATATGCCTCCAATTGGTCTTGGAAGAGCTACAGAACTCGAACCAGTTTCTAAATCACATGTGTCAATGATGCAACGTCTGGGCCGACCTGAGGGTGAAAACAATGTCCCTGCCAGTTGGAGAGAAGAAGCTGCCTCATATTAAAAGACCTGTATTAATTAATTCAAAGTTTGAAGCATCTCATTTTTTTTTTTGTTATACCGAAAATAAAAAAAGTCTTTCAGAAATATTTCAATTTATTTGTTGAAGGACGTTGTCGCTTGGTCAGAGCAGTGTTTATGTGGGCAATTTTGAGACTATATGAATGTATCTTGAGCAAAACAACTTGAATGATGGACAGAGCTTTCCACAAAATTTGTCTAGAAAGTCGTCCAGTCAAAGATTTGATATCCCTTTTCGTCTAAAATTTTCGTCTAAACAACAAGCCAACACACTCACAAGGGTTTACTGGTTTGGAATATAACGAGAGAGAGACTGACGGCAACTTTCAGGCACGTCAAGATAATTGCCAGACCCCCAATTGCCAGACCGCCTTTTGCTGTACGGCCTCATATATCTGAACAATTTTAGCGTTTAGATTATGTACTTATATATAACATGCAGAAACATATCCGATATGGTCCAATGGTTAGGATCCCGCCCTTTCACGGCGGTGGCCGGGGTTCGATTCCCCGTATCGGAGCTTTGTTTTTGAAATTGTCCATACTGTACTTCCCAATAAATGCATTTTTCCTTGCAAGATGGTTTCAATTTGCGGAGTAAAACTTGAAGTCGAAGTCGAAGGCCAGATATTATACATTGTAGAGTTCACTGTATACATTCGTACACTAAAAAATGACGCAAGACGCAGTGGAACCCGAACAGTGCTGGTGTACTTGGGTTATTTTAAGTTTGACGATTGGTTTACGCTGTGTTTCCTGGCCGGTAATCTCAATGTTAACAACCACAATGTCACGGTAAAAGTTCCCCCAACAGATCCCACCACCTTCCTCTAACACCATCCCAAAAGCAAACGTATACGCGCTCGATACTGGGATCGAACCAGTGACCTTGAGGTTAACAGCCCCACGCTACTACCCATATGGCATGTAAATAAAAATGGTCTATATGAGTCATACCCAACTCCGGACTATAAGTCCCTACACTTCATTTATGCGTTATATATGTGTTTCTCGCTTGTTTGGGGTCATGGGGGGGCATTGGTGCTAAGTTGGTTGTGCCGGGATGGGTCACGTGACGAACCATTTTTTGGATGCAAGCTACGATCAATATCCTGCATCCAAAAAATGCTTTTGCAAATAGCGTGAGACAAAAAAATTGTTTCTTATCCATAGCGTACATCTGAAATATTGTTCTTCCTCAAATATTAATAAACGCGACCACCACCACAACACAGGTTGCGAGTATTGCCCCAAGTGCTTCAAATACTTCCCCAACCAGTTTCAACGGGAAAGTGCTGTGTGCTGTTTGCGAGAAACCGATGCGAACAACAACAACACGGTGTGCTACACACAACCGCCTGGCTCATTTTCAATGCTGTAATATGGATGCAAACGGATATCTTTATTGCAAAACCCCATGTACGCGTTGTTGTGCCAAAGCTTTGCTATCAAGATATTAAAAAATCAACAACCCAAAACAGGCGACGGCTCGGCTTCCACTGCCGCAAAACTCATAGGAAAGCCTATCAGACCGCCAAAGCGTCAGCGGTCTCCTTCCGAATCACCAGATATGCCTTCGGACGACGATAATGTCTTTAGAAGTTATCGCGGCATTCTCTCCAAAGAGCCGCTCGCTTTCCAGCAGCGCTACTACGCATCCGACTACATTCGAAGCCTATGTTTGTTTTTATTTTTTTGTTTCCATGAATATTCTGGAATATTCTGTAACCCGAACTTGGTTTAACAGTGACAGGCGAAGTCTGCCCATCATGCACGGAGCCGCTCCACAAAACAACACCGGCGTACTCTTGCCATTCGTGTCGAAAGAAAGTCCATCTTCTATGGGATGACTGTCTTATCCGCGACGGCCCTGATTCCCACGTCGGCAACTGCACTAAATGCCAGTTCGCCGAGCCTGGATGTCCGCCGGCGTTCGAGTCCTATGAGCACCGTCCGTTCTTTGCAGCTGTTGTCGCGGCGCGAAATGGGCCCTTGGGAGCTTCATCGACTTCAAATTCTCTGTCAAATTTTGTCCCAAAATCAACCGCCAGCACCGCTCGCAAGCGCAAAAGCAATGACGACGCCACCGATGGTGCGAGCAAGGCTCGCAAAAGAGGCATATCGAACATCTACCTGACCCGCGATGCTGAAACCGAGGCACCCAAGGAGACTCGCACCAACAAGAAGGGAGGCGGCAGAAAAAAGAAGGATTCTGGGGATCCTGAATCCTTAGATAACCCTGCTGCCACTGTCGTTTTGATTCCCGAGTATCCGGAGTATCCACTAGACCCGGCGGTGATTGCTACCCGTGGAATCGCCATGCCGACGAACTTCATCAGGAAAAAGGCCTTCTCAAAGCTGCGCACCGACCTCAGCGATCCCGACCACCCCATCAGCCACGAAATTGCTGGCAAGAACCTTGCTGTTCTGCTGAATTTTCTTGACGACTGTGGTAAGTCTATTTTCTTTTTTACTTTCATTCCCCTCGAGTCCGAGCGATCAGGCGAGGTACGAGCCAGCGAGGCGAGACCCGCGACACTCTATGCGCGCAAAGCGCGCTTTTAGAAAAAAAATTGGGTTTTGGCTTTTCTATGTATCTCTAAACAACATGTTTTTTTTTAAATAGATCACTTAAAGCCCCAACATTTGATCCCCTTTCGGGCTGCCTTCAACTTCCTAGTTTTCTACTTCCGCGCGGATCCAATTTTCAATGACACACTCATGGGTCTCGTTGAACTGTTTCCTTCCTTGGGAAAAGACGAGCGCAATGAGTTCTTAACTCAAATCAACCACCACGTCGATATCCTGAACCGTGACCTAAAGAGTGCGTCTGCTCACTATTTTTTTTCAACCACTGATGACAAATCTGTCATGTCCTATGATTCTCATCGACTCGGAATTTCTAATGCTATTGAAGCCTTTGACCTTGTGGACATAGAGAGTACGTTTGTGGCATTTTGGTTTCATCTTTTATTTCTTTATTCAACGCCCTTCCTTTATTCATTCAGACAAGAAAACTCATATTGGACGAAAACTTAACCAATATGAACTTGATTCGCGAGGAGTTCCGAGATCAATTTCCAAGTCCCTCTCGTGGATGCTAACAGGCAGCAGCGACATGGACGTTCAAACTGCGCACTATGCAAAAATGATTCCGTTGATGGTGCGTTGATATTTTTTTTATTGCTTCCTAACATGTGTTTGAACAGATTCGGCTTGCTCTCGCTTTTCACAATATTGAGGCGGACAAGCCGATTACCATTCCATGCCATAACGTACAGGTACCAATGGAAATGATCCACGCCTTGATTCCTTGGTTGCCAAAGCTGAAGGCTGTTCTGAATGGTCCAAAGGACACTCCAGCGTGGAAGAAGTTGGTTCTTACTGCTGATCCAAAAAATCCCGGCAAGATGATTGAGTCCGGAGTTCATTCGTTGCCACGGTTCATTAGACGTCTGGAGTTCTCTGCATATTCCTTTTATGTACGTGTCGCGTCACTCATTTATCATGGGTACTTGAAGCCAGGTAACTACTGTCATTTGTAGTCATTTGTTTTAACATTTGGGTTAGAGGATGAGCTGTATCGGGTTATTTTTAACCACTACATCATCAAGGATGACTTTCCGGGCGAATTCAAACGAATATGTGAAGAAGTATTTGAGGAGGAACGAAAGTACGAAGTCAAAACAAAGGCTGAAGTGCAAGCCGCAAATACCGCTATTGCGGCTGGATTGATGCCCGGTTCCACCAGAAACGCGGATGGTAATGTTGGTGTCAGTCCCGAAACTTTGCTTCAGCTGAAGAAAAACTTGCTGGATGATCTGGCGGAAATAATGACGGGGATAATTCGAAACGAGACAAAAAGCGCTGTGCACGAAGCACTTTCCAATATTATGGGACAGGAAAGCATTGACAAGTTGGTGGGTTCATGGGTTTTGTATAAATGTTCCATTAATTTACCTTTCATGTCAATAGATTTCGTTGCAACAACGTATTGATGCCTTGGATCTACCTGCTTCTTCGTCAAGCACCAGCGGTATTGTTGCTCGTCCTCCTCCAGTAGCTGCGGCGGCAGAGTCGACAGCTCTTGAAGCGGCCGCTCCTCCGGTTTCCCAGTTGGTCCTGGCAAACATGGAAGTTGGAAAAGGGCGTTATCGTGTCGAGTACCATCAGCCATTTGGCAACATACCAAAACAGCTCAAGGGAAACAAGGTGTTTCAGCACAATATTCCCTCTGTTACTCTGCCGGAACTTGGAGATTTCACGTCTTGCCTTCAGGTTTTATTTTTTTTTATCAAAAAACTGTCTGTTTGCTGACTCGTTTAAAAAAAAGGTCCATGAATTAGTATACCATCCGGATTGCCCGCTTTCGTTGCTCAATACGCGCCATAAGCAGTACTGGACCCGTGTAATCCCAAAAGGTCAGAAAGGCTCCGATGTTCTCGGCACTCGTTACCGAAACTTGCAAAGGTGTCTCGTTGCTATTTTGAAGAGAAAGTCTGTGCTTGGTGGAACCGTTGAAGAGGCTTGTGCTGATTTGGACAATGACCCACTCTTCCGCAACAAGGATAACTCTGTGTCGCTCTCTAAGATTGCAGCGACCGCACAAGGCAGTACATTGCCAACTTTGGGGATGGAGAAAACATTTAAGAACTACAAAAAGCCAGGGAAGAAAGTGAAGGGAAAGGAAGTGGCGGGTCAAGTTGTGGCTGCGGTTGGCGGTCAAGTTGATGCAGTGAATATTGAGAATGCTGAAGCCGGTAGTGAGGAGGATGAGGGGGGAGATGGGGAGGACAACCGTTAGTTCTTTGTTTTGAATACATTCAGTACTTTTCCTTTGTGTCTTCGTTTCATGTTTTTCAGTTTTTCATTTTTTTTTCGCAACAATCAATGCCACCCGCAGTTCGTGGCCGATCTCTTGCACCAGGCGGCACCTCAGCAGTCTCAATAGCCAAGATCGAAGTAGAAACGAGCTCAGCAAAGACAGCAGTGGGTACGGCAGCAACACCACCAGTTGTGGTGAGTGGCTCGCAGGTCTGTGTCTTCCCGCCTCTTCGCCCGATCTCCCATCACCGCTCTCTCCTCTTACTCCAACATGTTCGCCATCTTTATTTCTTGTTGTATGGTGTGTTTCGTGCTCTCTGTTTTGGCAATAAATCGTTGGGGGGTTCATCACATTTTTGTGGTGAGCCCCTCATTTTTTTGTCCTCGACATTTTTTCCCTGCACGATAATGCCAGCTGAGCCAACCGAGCTGCCTCTATATAAATTCTGTCATAATTATGGAGGAAACTGGGTAGGGCTCAATAACACATGAATTTCTTGACCTTCAAGCATTCAATTAGTGACTTTACTGGCTGAAAGTTTTCTGCAAATGGTTGGGATGGGGCAAATAATGAGAAAAAGCGATTGGGGCATAGATTTTGCCGGTACATTACGATATGTCTCATTTAAACAGCAGGGTCGTACATAAGTCATATTGAATTGTGTTCAATTCTTGAGTCCCCTGTTACCCGCAAATAGCAGCAATGGAAATCCCCAACAGGTCAGCTTCATACATCATCACCTTCTCTTTCTTCAATCCCACGCAGCTGGAACATTATACCAAGACTCGGACGCGTTTCCACAACGAAAGAGCACATCTTTCACCTTTTACGCCGTCAGATATTTCTTGCTTGGGCAGTCGGACTTCACCATACAGAATCGTTGTACACAGTTGCCCCTTCAACAAAATAATAAATGACTCATTCACACTCATTTCTCCCAAAATAAAGCACAAATGCGCTAATCGCCCTTGAGGGCGAAAAAGAACGCGAAGAGCCAGACAAGAAGTAGGACCGGAACCAAAGCCTTCCATATTCTGTAAGCAAAAAAAAAAAAAAAAAAAAAAAAAAAAAAAAAAAAAAAAAAAAACGCCCTCCGCTTTATTTGATATGCT